AGAGACACACACACACACACACACACACACACACACACACACACACACACACACACACACACACACACACACACACACACACACACACACACACTGTCCCTAACCAAATCCCCTCCTTCACAAACTGAGCCTCCACAATTACCACAATCAGAGCATCTTAACGAAGATAGGCAAACACACACACAGGAGGAAACACACAAACTGTTTTCTCGGGGTCTTATCGGACTCTAGGGAATTAAATAGCCCCCGCTGACAAACAAACAGCCCTGTGAAAAAGCCATTATTTGGTAAAATGGTCTGTATGACGTCTTCAACAAATGGCTATTTCTACTTTGACTTTGAAGCGTCTCCAAAAAGATGCGACTCATCCATACTAAGCAGGCGTGAAGCTAAAATCTTTCCAAAGCAGGCCAAACTCGGAAAGTGAGAAATAAGAGGAGAGGACTTATAGAGAGCAGCAGGCGCGTCGCCTGATTTTTTTTTGTAGCCCCGGACAATTCTCCCTCAATAATATAATACATTAACCGTGCTTTACCTGAACCTCATCATGACACTAGAGAGGACGGCAGGATTGTAATTTCCCGTGTTCAGTGAATGCAACAGAGGCAAGACACCAGACCAATCACCAGAGAGTTGCATGAAAATAAACGTGTCTTATTGGCTAACCTGTACCTATCCTGTGACAATGTTTAAACTGTCAGTCGGACTCTGAGTTTTTGAAGATGGACATAAGAAAACATTTTCTTAAAAAAGACGACAATTCTCAAGTGGTGGCTCACACAGCAACCCCAGAGCCACCAGTTGCGCCAGGTAAACAAGGTATGTAAATGTCAGTAAACGTCCAAGTTATGCGAGTATGTAAGCAAAGCATAAATTACAGCTACGTTGTTGACGTTACTTTGAATCGCGGGGGTAAGCTAAACCGTTAGCAAGTAGCTATAGCTAGCCAGAGATATTAAATCAACACTTTGTCATACAATCTAAATGTAATGTTTTTTAGCCTTACCTGGTGATTTAAAAAAATCCTCTGGAAAATGTTGACTTACTGTCAGTGTTCGACATGAAGCTAGAAGCTACCTTACATTACACAGTCACAGGGGAGTGATTTGTAAAATATCCATAAAGAAAAAGTAATTCTCTTTACAGTTCTGTTTCATATGGGTGTTGAAAGATGTATCCATAGATCTCTTAACTTTTCTCTCAAAGTGCACCAGATTGATGCTTTTAACTTAAATATTTAAAAACAAATCTTCCCGGGGGAGCATGCCCCCGGACCCCCCTAGAGGAGGTTAGGTCCGCCACCCACCTATACAAAAAATTGAATTTTAGCCTTGCTTACACCCATATGACGTGAGCTGATTATCGAGCCTCCATTGTAACAGTCGCAGATGCACTGTGTATGTGCGTGTGGGGAGTGTTGCAGTAGACATTTCCACTGTAGCGCCCGGTACCTTAATGTACCTTAATGAACTGTGGGCTAAGCCCCGAATGTTTCCAGGTCCAGGAAACGCCCCTGGAGAGCGGCCTCACCTATTTTCCATCTGGATCGTGAAGGGGTTCATTCTACAGCTCAATATGTGGAGATTGTCCTCATATGTTAGCTTCCTGAAAGGTTCTTGTAGTTTAGTTGTGGTGCGTTTAATGGACAGAAGGTTAGGGTCATGTGGATGTAAACACATTAAGGTGTGAATGCTCATATAACAGTGATGCAATACTTCCCATGTTATAAACCCTTTTGTTTTGTTTACAATTCTAATAAAGAAAACAGTCAAATAAATATATTTGCGAGTATTGAATACATATTTAAATAAAAATGTTAACAGATACAGTTAAAAAATAACCTTCTGTATGGATTAATTTATCCTATAATTATTTTGCGCCCCTAACATTTGGGAAACTATTGCAAAATGAGGTTTTTTATTTAAGTTTATCTAAATAAAGCTGCATTATGTATGTTTTACTGTCAAGTATTATTGTTGAGGGGAAAAAGATAAATAAATGAATGTTGGTGAAATTTCACAAATGGTAGTATAACTCCCTCTGGTGGAGAACTACTGAACTTAGAAACAATATATCAAATATTGTCAACATTTCTAAAAATGTTATCAAGATGGATAGATGACATGCATTACAATCTTTACATCTTTAAAAAGGGGGAAGAAAGTATAAACATAATCAAATAAATTAAAACAATAAACAGCAGCAAGTCCATGTGCGGGTGTTTCTCAATGTCGAGTAAAGCTGCTCCAGAGCCACTATTTCAAGCATACTACGTCATCGAGTGCCGCCAAAGTACTGTTCCAATGTCCAGCATACTTGGAATTCTACCGAGCCTGGCGTACTTCGTAGCGGGGAATTTCGAGGCTGCACATGTGAAGACTCCGCAGTCTTAACATCCCCACAATGCTTTGCGCACGGACCAATTTCCCCAAATCTGTGGCGGAAAATGTAAGACGGGGCCTCTCATATGACGCACACCTGCACACTTGCTAGTCTGTTCCACTCTTCGTTTTCCAAATGCCAGGAAGGATTCTTGCCTCGCTTCAGAAGCAAGTGACTCGGAAGACATGTGCTACCAGGCAAGCGTACTCGACATTGAGAAACACCCAGTGTCTACGTATTAAGGACATGAACCACAAGAATACTCAATATAAAATGTTCTAGATAATTCAGGGTGCCCCACAATAGCAGGAAACATATATTATAAATATGGTAATATATACATTTGAGTTCAATTCATGGTTGTTGTTGGGGAAATATTTTCCAAGGCCCATAACTTTGACCCAGTTGATCAGTTCAAACTGTCCTGACTGAGCACACGCACCTGTAACCTTGGCTGCTGTGCTCTCAGTGTTCTGTCTCCCTGTTCCTGCCTGTTGGCGTCAGCTGATAGAGGCCTTATGATTCTATCTTGTTATGCACAATGTTGATGATTCTCTCTGAACTAGCTAAATACATGAATCAGGGTTCTTCAGAATTGACGTGGCAACTCTACCGTAAAGTCAGCACCTCTGGCTCTTGGACTTGTTTTGTGAATTCTCCGGCCGAAGCTCCAAATAAACCCGTCAGTGTTTGACATCAAAGCTCCAGCTCTCCCCATGTCTCCTTTTGAGTCGGTGACTCCTCCTGCATTGCTACACAGAAGTTTCTCCCACAGTTGTTCATGGTAGTGGAGGGGAGGAACCAAAGCTATAGCAGTGAGTTCTCTGCCAGCCAGAGGTGAGTTGTTATAAAGTGTTATTAAGTAACTGTAACGCAATGTTCTCTTTAGTATTGAGTGTCATGTATAGACAATAATGGCTCCTGCAGTGAGCTGTTACCTGACGGCCTCGGCCACGCTGTTGGAGGTGTGTCCTGACAGGGCGTCGTGCAGGTTCCTGATGAAGTAGTCTCTGTACTCCTCAGCCAGAGCCATGAAGGTCCCGCCCATCACGATGAACTCCACCTTGTCCACGCTGTGTCCCAGCTGCTTCAGCTGCACGGCACACACAAAGACACACACGACTCTTCACAACTCTTCGCAAATAAAGTCCTCAGCAGTCTTAAAAGTAGAAGGTAAACAACCACGTATCAGCGCTATACTTTTCACAGCGTTTCTGAGAACACTGTTGGTGAGAACTTTGAATACAATAAGTCAGAAACCTGCAGGTGATACTTTAACCAGCTGATATGGAAAACCTCATCATCAACTATGGAGAACTGGATTTTCTTTTTAGAAACGTGGTAATTTAAATTTATAAAAATAATATATCATGTTCTGTCCTTGCAACAATCCAGATAAGTGTCAAATGACTTTGCACTTTTAGAAAATGCATGAATGTACCTATGTCAACTTGTCATGTGCAGAACCTCCATATTAAATACAAATACAGATAGAATAGGTTTGGGAAACAAAAAAAGAATACGATTCTGAAACAATTCCCAACTTCCAGCATGTGTGAGTAAGTTCAGCATGAATGACGTTTTTATAGTCGATATCAAACATAAAAACTCCATAACGTAATACAGACTTAACCCTGCTTTCATGCACCTTTCCAGCCGCAGGACATTAGCATTACTTTTTCAAAATCCAGAATTGAATTTGAATGTAATCTTGAGATATTGAGAGATTCACACTCCTCATATACAGCAATCAATACATCACGAAAAGATAACATTAGCAACAAAAAAATAAGGAATACAAATCTATATTGAATTCTGTTTTTGATACAACCAAATAAGTGACCAGATGAATTGCACACCGTATTAGATAACGCATGCAGTTTGTTAGTATAACTAATAACAATGCCGTGGCAATGAGACTGAACATTTCTGTTAGTAAAGTTTTCTACATGAATAGGTCTGATGGTTATATATGAATATCTTTCATATCAAATTGGAGTCATACTTAAAACAGCGATTACACATAAGACCGACCAGCCAAAACTAGATTCAGATGGCACATATCTGTACATCAACTGTTGCTTTAATGGATGGCTTTGCTCTGCTGCATGTAATAATGTAGCACTGCATTTGAATAATGGCATAATTAGGGTCAGGTCTCAGCAGGAGGGTAAAAGCCATGACACTCATTACTCTATACTAAATGTATTATCAATGGGTATGATTGGTGTGTTCAAGTAAAGAAGATCACTGCACAGAAGCTGATTTGAGGATATGGCAGAGGAAGACAAATCCCACCTGTTTTAACTCCAATTTGGCCGATAAAGAAAATTTAAAAATTTGGCTTATTTAATGGCTAATGTACTTGCAGGATTCATGCGGTTTAGTTTGTTCCTTCATGGTGTACTGCTCTTATTGTAAGAGACTTTGGATAGTAACCTCAGGTAAATCTAATGGTATGTACGAAACAGAGGCTGCTGTGTCACCGCATGAAATGAGTTTCTGTGTAAAAGGCCGTGCATTCATGAACCATTAACAAAAATGATTTAAAAAAAGGAATTAGAGTAACACGGACCTGCTCCACTCGATGTCTGGTCTGGAGGTAGGGGTCATAGCGGGCTCGGATTGCTCTCATGGACGTTGGCTATAAGAAAGAGATAGGGAACAAAATGAAAAGACTTAAATAAAATACCTAAAGTCAAACAACAACTACAGAATAAGGACTTTGATCCAACACAATTCTGTATATTTATATTGTTTATTCAATAGATATAATACTAAAGCTACTATGGTGTTTTAACTCCCGGGGATGACTTGGCTTACGCGCTTTACTGTGCTGTACGACACCGGTTTGGTTGTTGTTTTACTCATGAATCGGTGGCTTTTATTGAGGTGCGCAATAAAACAATCCATTTATTGTATTGTTGTTGTGCATAATAAAGTCAATTTGTATTCAATGCCTTAACAAACAAGCCTTTATGGCAATCACATTTGCGGCACTGCGGTCAAAAACCATTTCAGACAACCTTTCCTGTGACAACACACACCTTAAATACCGGTGCCATAGGGAATCAGACAGGGACACCCGATGGCACACACAGTGAACAACACACAACGGTGAAACCTCAAGCAAGATAGGACCATCATTGAATTGGCTGTTACAATGTATATCCTTCACAATTGATATGTATATATTCACTGTCTTGTTTATCTTCTACTATCTTTATCTTTTGTAATTATATTTTAATTTACTACTTATTCATGTAAAATGTGTTTGGTTGATGTCCGATTCTTTATATATTGAGTTTTTCTTACATTATTGACATATATTTTCATGTTAACTGTTTGAATAAATCTACATATAAAAAGCTTTACTCGCCTCCTGAGGCAGAATGAAACTACCGTACCTCATATCCAGTGTACGACTGTGTGGAGTACTCAAAGTCTGAGTCTGGTCCTCCAGGACAGTAGCTGCCAGGGTAAAGAGAAAGAGAAGAAAAACACATTGTTGAAAACAAATTCTTAATAAGCAATAACAATTAGATCCCATCTTTAAATGTTTATTTACATATTTTGCAGCCAAGTTCTGAAATTGTGTACATTTAAATGAGCATAATCTTGCAAGCAGTGCATAATGATCAAGTAAAAAATGCAAATAAAATATGCAGAGACTATTGTTACTTACACACAGATGTTGCCTGTGAAGCTGATGTGAGGACATCGATGTGGTTTGCACATCACAGCAACCACTGCAATCTGGATAGAAGACACAAGGAGTGATTTCCTGAATATAACCTGTGTGAAAACACTCTTGACAATACTATTTAGTAGGCTGACATTTTCTTGGCTTTCTTTACAAACAAAGATTGTTTCGAATCCCTAGATCAGAGAACCGTCATTATGCATCATGGATACAGCATGAACTATAACGCAAAAAGATAATATTACACAAGCAAACGCTGAAACTCTTAACACAAAGAATTTCCCTTAGCTTAAGGCCTACATACTACATTACATGTTAGACACTTTTATCCAAAGTGACTTACATGTACTCAGTACTTTCCCCACAGGAGCAATGGGGGTCAAATGTCTTGCACATGCTGACTGCAGTGGGATTCGAACTTGCTCTCCCCTGATAAAAAATCAGTGCACTATCCCACTGAGCCACATCCTCCCACATTATTAGATCAAGTAAATCAGAATACAAACTATTTGTAGCCAAAGCAAAATATATGTGGCCCCGAGAGAGAGATTTTTATTTGGTGGACTTAAGCTAATTGAACATACCCCACTGGCAGTGCGGATGGGCTTGGCCTTCAGTTTGGGCACCAGAGCCCGGCGGTACTGTGGTGGAACCGCAGCGATGATGTCCACCAATCGAGGCATGGATTCAAGTCCATACTTTGCTGAAGTCTTAGTCTTCACTCTTTAAAAACAGAATCATAGAAAGACATATATTTAATTATGAATTATAACTTTAAATGTTGATCTGTGCATGTGTTTTTTTATCCATAGACCTTGTCTTTAATAGCTACTAAAGGCTTGAGTAGTATAGAGTTGGGACTTAATTGAGCAAGGGGCTGTATACTTACTTGTTGAGATTAATATCTTTGCCCTCTTCATGTGCTTCAACCAGCTGATTGATGACATCAGCAATGGTCATCATCATAAGCTCAGCCCGGCTGAGATCACCTAACAAAGATGATCAATACTATGAGATTATTTTAGTACTTTTATACAGATGCATGGAGTTCAAAAAGCCATATTTACAAGATCCAGGTACATGCAACGTAGATGTAATGTAGCTTATATATTGAGCAACAGTAACGTTAGAGTTTATGAAACCCATTGTCAATAACTGTAATAACTCACCTTTAAAATGACAATATGTACGCAGTAGGCCTACGAATTATATCGCTGTTATCATGTTTAAAATATTGGGAAGACTTGTTAGCATTAGCAACAAGCTAAAGCCGAACAGACCCGTTTAGAAAGTAATTTCAGGTATATTTAACACACTCACTCTTTTTCTTTGGCTTCCCCATTTTTTCTTGGAGGCTGACCGTCCAAATTCCAACGGGTGGGTGATTGTAGGCAGAATTACATCTGTTTTTAACCCGAGAAGGCTGTCAGAAATAGTAAACAACTCCACGTTGCTCCCAAAACAAGGCTTCAGTCGTACGGCAACCGAAACTGTCGTACAATATCGTAAATGGGTCTTTTCCACGAACGGCGTGTTATTGGAATTTAAAAAATGCCACAAGGGCAAAACAGAGCCCCCCTTCTATAACCGCTGCAATAGCTAAATTACCATTAATTAGGGATATTTTACTTTGTTTTTCTGAACATGTTTAGGACAAATCTCACAGACTTGTAATGCGTGTGGATCCACACAGTGGCGCTGAACTCCCTCAAACCAAGTGGGCCAGTGTGTGCGGAGCAGAGCGCAACTAGAGAATTTAGAAGGCTCTCTAAATCTCACAGCAAATCCCTTTAGCTCGAGCTGACATGAACTGACTTATCACTGAGGGAAGTTTCAGGAAATGCAACAGGTGGAGAAGCCGAGGGAATGAACCGTGTGTCGTAAGTGTTTTTTTAAACTTACGTAAAGAAACCAAGGTGATTTAGCACACTTAACATGGTTAGTTACATTTATAAGGGTAATTATAAAACACATTTGACCCCTCTCTGTGTGTTTGCTGTTATCCAGCTCTCGTTAGCGTCCCGGGCTAGCTGCTGAGAGTACTTCAAGGTGCCTGTGGGAGTCGGATTGGGAAACAACTGCGCACTCTTTCACACGGTTTGTCTACTTCTCTTTACAGTATACCTTGTATTTTAGCTTGTTATGTCATCATGAACGTTTTTACTAGATATTTAGATATGGTTTTCGCATGAATAGTATTATATTAAGCAGGACACTAGCTTGTTTATGTATACATATTGGTTGTTCAGGTGTAACAGGTATCTAATTTTGATTTAAGGACACTATGAATTTAGAATGTAGTAAGTAAAACTTCAGTAAGTTAAAAAAAGGAAAACACTAAATGTGTTATTGTCCATTCATTCATTTGTCATAGGTCAGGTGCCACCATGGATGACAGCCTGAATGACTCCAATGTAAAGGTCGCTGTTCGTGTGCGACCAATGAACAGGAGAGGTGAGTTTAATGTCAGATAGACGTTGTGACATGTTCAGCAGTTATGATTCACGAAAGACAGACACTTATTGGTTTGTTTTCATGTGCCCAACAAAGATCTTTTCAACAATTCTGTCCAGCTTTAAAAGGGCTCTTTTAGTTTGAGTTCGTTTCTTTGGAAAGGCTTTGAAAAGGTCCATGCTGTCCTTCTTTGGAAAAGTCTTGGCTGGAGTGCTGTTAGAGTAGAAATGGAAAAATATTGAAGGGACAGTGACATCATATCCTTACAGTGAAGGGACTGTTATGCATGTGCAGTGTCGTGCATTACAGCAGAAACAGATTTGTTTCCACCAACAACATTACTTTTAATTTCATGTCACCTCTCCAATTGGCTTTGCAAAACTATGCCTCATTAAGTGTAACAGTGGAAAATCTCACACAACACACGTGCCCTAACTCCTGCTCTAACAGGAAGTTCCAGTGCTGTCTCAGCCTGAAAAGCCTTGCTCTGCAGGTAGGAATGAGGAAGAGTAGCTGCTTTTCCTTACTGCCTGCTCAGAGTTGTAAAGGGGTTGTATTGTTTGCACAGGCAAGTCCTGGATGAATCACTACTTCCTGCTCCATGTCGGGCTTTATGTGTTACAATCACAAGGAGCTGGAACACACACACACACACACACACACACACACACACATGGAAGCATTTAGGCAAAGCTGGAGGTTTACTGTGAGCTGCCAATCCATGCCAGTCGATTGGCCCCGGCCTATCAACTGTTTCCATGAAGCCAATGACCTCTACATGGGGACAAGGGGGAGAGTAGGGGGTAGTGGGAGGGAGGGTTAGGTTTCAGGGGGGTGCAGTTTGTTGGAGCAAAAGTGTACTTTGGCTCTGAGGGACGACATCAGATTAAAAAGGAGTGTGTTAGGACTGTGAATTTATATTTTTGTGTGCACCACGTAGAAGGGAGGAGGCTCCGCTTGTTATTCGGGATACCTTGTGTACAGAAAAACGAATAAATCAAACCAAAAATCAAACTCTCGCTGAGACACTAGATAGCCAGTCTTATGTCGGGATGAATCCAATGCAGGTAAGAAAATCATTTATGCAGTTTACTGTCTTTTGAATCATCCAAAAGCACCATGAACGGCTTTTACCTCCCGTCTTGCCCTGGTTAAAACACATATGGACAATTCCACCTCCACCTGTCTATCATTGAATAACTTCACCCAGTGCCCAAAGCTGCCTTCAAAATAAAATATATACATCTACCTGAATTAACTAAAACAATGACATTTTAATGATGAATCGATTACTATATACAAAAACACTAGTATTATATATCAATTAGTATCTGCAAATGAGCTGCAATACCACGCCCTAACCTTTGATTCCCTAACCCTATTAAATACCAAGTGCATCTTTTATTTTGAAGGCAGCTTTAATCACTATTCACCAAGTTTCCAAAGCTGCCTTCAAAATAAAAGCCTTAACAACTCTCCAAATGACCTTGATACTAACAGATTATCAAATTACTATAAACTAAAACTGACTAAACGACTGTGTGTTATAAATGGATGAATAGCTCAAACACCGTGTTAAACATGCTTACAAGGCTTGGAAGTATTGTGCTCAGATTTGGGGGGTGGGGGTTGGATTTGTTCAGCATCATTCAAAAAAAAAAAAAGTTCAAACATTCTCCGCAGCGTTAGTATCAAAAATCAAATCACATCAAGGAAAGTTCGTTGTGAAAAAACAAGAGACATGTCATTGATGCAAAAATGAGGAAACCCAGCGGGATCCAACTTTCTGATTTGTTTGGACTTCTCTCTGAACAACAAGGCACTGAAAGAGCCTGCCTGTGTTTTGCCTGTTGGCCATAATCTTATTTCAGCCGCTACGTAATGGTCGTTCAATTACATAATTGGCCCTTGTCTGCCGGCCATGAATGCACCGGCTGTCTTGCAGCGAATCGTACAAGGGGCCGCTTTATTTCAAGCTAAAGGTGGAGGAGACGTAGGAGGGAGGTTAAAAGAGAGAGTAATGGGAAAATGAAACAAGATGCAGAGACATGTAGAGGAATTGAGATGAAAAAAGGATGTGGTTGACACAAAGTAGAGTCGAAAACGTTTGAGAAAGCCTTTTTTGCACCTTCACCGCAGATGAGCCGCTCCCTCACGATGTCACTTCCCCGTGTGCGCACACTATCTGCAGTCTACCCTCTCCTCGCAGTGACGAGATCTCCGGGATATCTTTGCCCTGTGTGATGTTCAGACCACGGTTCCGCTGCCCTTTTACCTGCCTCAGCTCACATGCAGACACGCTGTCACACAAGGCCTTGTTATCTTGATACGTCTTATCTCCGTGAGTTGATAAGAGCCTTATCTTTAATCGCGCCGGTGTTTGTAGAAGCATTTAAGATTCATGTGCTGTCTGTTAATCTGCTCAGGACTAGTCACCTCTTTTCGCACTTTCACTAAGTTGGGGGACTTGCATAGGACTTAAAAGATAATGATTATAATCAAAGGTTGAAATGTCCCAACTTTTAATCACTATTGATCAAATACCCTCCATAATGCTAAGCTCCACCATTCCACTCTCACTGTTACACAGACCTTTAGTTTTAGAGATTGTTGTTTATTTAGCCAAATCCACAATAACCCAGAACACTTCATTGGGGTTATTTCCTCTGATTTCTTCTCAGCAACCCCCCAAGACTCATTTTACAACTTCTTAGCACTCCCAGTGATGTGTTAACTGAACATCACGTGTAAATAAGTTGAGTGTACTTTTACAAGCCAGCATGTGTCTGCTTTTACTCGCTTGTAATTCTTTTTTTAGGTCACAAAATACTTGTAATCCCAACAAAATGTCAGATTATGGATTTATCATTTAAAGCAACCTAATGTGATGTTCACAAAACAAGTTAAGTCATATGTTGTGTACATTTATAGGTTAAACATCCCAAAAACATGCTAAATACACTATTATTACTGTTATTTATTAAACTCGTCTTTAAGCACACCCTTAAGGTTATATCATTCTGCATTTCAACACATATTTGTCACAAATACAAGTTAAGCCTTGTTCTTGAATCTTTATGTTTTTATTCATTTCCAGTCATGCGGAGGCACATGGCTCTGGCCTATCTTTTGCTTTATTTCACGGAGTTAACTTGTATATTATATACTTATATTACTCCTCAGGTCTCAGACTATACCAGCAGTACACACTACATGAGCGTTTTTGCACCTTTTCAAAAAGAATCTCCGTCCATACTCGTATGACAATCACATGACCATTCGTGAGGCATGCGTACGCAGGTGTGAATAGTTAGTTACCTCCTGCTGTGTAGCGTTTCTAATTGTATGTATTTCGTGAAGGTTGCGATCTTTTTCTGGTTTTATTTTTGAACGATTCTTATGAATGTGAAGCTCTAAATGACCTTGCAAATACTAAAGAGGAAGAACAGCAAATAGCTCGCTTCCTGCTCATGTAGGCAGTGTATATGTCTTCAAATGTATCCCTTTCTGCCCATTTGGACTGCATTGCAAACCCGGAGTTTACAAACTAAAACCGTGTCCGTAGCGTTTAATAAGCCTCCGCCTATCTGGGGTTTGAACACAGAGTGGATGCTAGGTGTAAACAAAGCAACATGTGTGCGTCTTGAAATCCTCTGATGATTGTGAGAACTCCTGCTGTGTTAGCAGGTCTGAGACACAGAGGAAACGACGATGGCGGATGGAGGTAGATTCAGCAGTTTCTCTCTGGGCGGGGCTGGTTTCACTGATCCTAAATATGTCAGACAAATCCCCTTGTAACCTAAGACAGAAGAACACATCTGAGTTGATCATACACACTTTCAGATAGAATAAGTAGTAAAAGAGAGCATGGCCTCTAACTGAAACTAAAGGGTCTTTACACTCACCAGGAACACATATTATTCATATTTAAGAACCATGACCTTTTTAAACAAAACCGTATAAGTGTGGATGTAGCCTCACAGAAAACCCTCCCACCATTAACGTACAAACACATTCTGTGCTTGTACATTCAGGGCTATGTACACCTTCCAGTTCTATAAAAATAACTGTGACAACATGCATATTAACTATAAAACACGTCACTCACACACACACACACACACACACACACACACACACACACACACACACACACACACACACACACACACACACACACACACACCCTAGAGATGCCTCGGTCTGTTTTCACCGAGGTGCTAGCTCTCTGTTAACTCTGCCAGCTGCAGCCAAAACCGTTTGGTCAAAGTTGTGTGTGTGTGTGTGTGTGTGTGTGTGTGTGTGTGTGTGTGTGTGTGTGTGTGTGTGTGTGCGCACACACACACACACACACACACACACACACACACACACACACACACACACACACACACACACAACTTTGACCAAACGGTTTTGGCTGCAGCTGGCAGAGTTNTGGGCGTGGACTACAAGTGTTTCAGTGCTGCGCGGGTGCGCAGGGGGATTACCCAATAGCGATAGCCTTAGAGGGCTACGCCATTTACTCATAGAAGCTGGGGTTACAGTAGGTAACCTCAGTTATCAGGTTACATCACATTTTCAATATCATTCAGATTTAACTCGAAATGAAAGTTGAAATCCTTATTGGTGCTCAGTGGGAGTTTTTTTTTTAAAGTAACATTATAATTCCATCTCCCTCCTTCTCTCCCTCGTCCCCAGGCAACTACAGCATGTCACTTCATTTAGTTCTTAGAAGAAGAACTTGGTTGAGGTCTTTAATGTTGTTAATCAGTTTTTGTTGACTCACTTATTGATGTTGCTGCCTTCTTTCAGACGTTCCCCCGCTGCTCCGGTTTTCGCCGCCCGCTCGCTGCCGGCCAGATCCACTAGACTCAGCTTGCTCACCTTCTCTCCACTCGTCTGCAGGGGACACACAAAAACACTTAGATTTATAGATTATGTTGAACTTTACTCATCAAATATAATCTTCTTTCTCTTAGTATCTTCAGTCATTGTGGAGAGACATTTGACTGTAAATCTGGAGATGTATGGATAACCAAAAGAGATTGAATCATGAGCTGAGCATTCATTTGGAATGCATGTCAAAGTGCCAACTGCTAAAACAGTCCTTAATATTGCAGTCAAGGTCAATTCTAAAAGAAGAAGAAACTAAAAATAAGGAATTGTAAATGACGATTCTCTCTCATTTAAGCCTCACGATTTTTCATAGAAACCAAAAAGAGACCTGTTGCCTTAAATAAGTCCTCCTATTTTGATTCTGTTATTTGAAAAATGATGTTTTTTGTCTTCATTTGTAAGGTTTTAGTTTTTTTGACAGCAAAACATTTTTTATATTTATTTTCTTAATGACACTCTATCCTGATTAAAAATAAAGGTTACATTTATTTACAATTTCCAGTTGAACAAAGAAAGAATGAAAATAAATAAATAATACTACATTTTGATTCAACAGAACATGTACCAACATCAATAATAATTGTTTAAAACCTTTAATCACCAAGAGAACATTGATTTTTTAGGTTTACATACTGTATGTGAGAATTGCTGCATTTTCTCACTATTTATAAGTCAATTAAATGTTTTGAATCTGGATTTGACCCTGGACAAGAAACATGAGGGACGTTTAGACTTTGTTTGCCATTTAAAATCTGTATAAATAAGTATCATTTAAAACAGTTATATTGATTATATAGGGTTTCAAAGTACTTAATGATTTGGGATTTTTGTCAACAGCTCAGTGTGCATGTGTGAGTGTGTTACCTCAGACTTCAGGTCCGTGAGTGTGTGTGTGAGGATGATGTTGAACACAGCGTGGGATCTACTGCTCTCTTCGTTCATATTGGTGGCGGCAACAGTGCGAGATTTATTTCCCTCTGACATCAGAGACTCGATGTCCTGTCAGCAAACAAACACACGTCTCGTCTGCGCCGTACTTTATGAAATAACATGTTTCCCTTGGCTATGTCTGGAGAGCAAAGGAAAACCAGAGCAGAAATCAAATTATAAGGTACCGTGTAGCAGGCCACAGCCAGGCGGGACAGGCCGTCCACGTAAGGCCCCATCACTTTGTGCTCTCTCACTCTCAGAGCCTGGCGGTTTCTGCAGAGAAGAGACAGTTCTTATTTATTCAATCTAATGTTACTAAGTAGAGAAGTATTAGCAGAAAAGTGTTCATCAAAGTATACAAATAAACTGTTCTCTTTTTACAGTATCATACAATTATAGAATAGTAGTATTCTGCTCTTATAATAAAAAATTAAATGCAAAAGCACTTTGATCTTAGTTTGTCATGTCGAGCCAATTATAAATATTATAATATCATGGGCTTATATATTTTAAAAAAGTGACTACATGTTATGGTGTGGTCTGCTGGGGTAGCAGCATACCAGCTGCAGACAGGAAGAGACGAAACAGACTGATAAGGAAGGCCAACCCCTTTTGTTCTAATCTATTGTGCAATAATCCGTGATGTATGTTTCATAGATACTTCATAATATCTCTCTTTAAATGTTCACCTAGCTTTTAAAATGCTGCTACTTATTTTTAGCAATGGGTACTTATTTGTCTTTAATCTTATTGTATTACTAATGTGTGCTTTTCTCTATATTTAATATGCAAGCTTAGTCTTTCCTATTGTTTGCCTTTTATCTGCTATGCCACTTTTGTAAACTTCCCCCGTTGAAGGACAATAAAGGATTTTTGATTCTGATAAATAATTGTAGTGGAGTAAAAAGCATGATAAATCCATCTAACATGTATTGTAGTAGAAGTATAAAGTATCATCAATTGGTAATACTTAGGTAGATTGCAAGTACACTCATTTGCAAACATTTTTAAATATTTGAAACAATATATAGTACATTTTCAAGTACGTCAAAATAGTACTGAAGGACCGTACTTTCATAAATTTACTTCAGTTACATTTCAACACTGACTGCTGATCATTTTTTTGAGAATTGAAAGGAGGAGACAAATGGGATGGTCCCAGGATTGGATTGGAACCCAGAACATGGTCTACCAGCTCCACCAGGCTATATAAAAAGTGAACTACACCGAACAGTTCCTCACCCTTTGGGGTCGAGCAGGTCTCGGACCTTCTCGTTGTAGATCTCCATGTAGGACACCTCCACAGTGAACTGCTCCTCCTCCCCCGCCTCCTTCACCGTCCTGCTGAACAGGGAGCTGCACAGCCGAGGGATCAGACCTGGCTGCTCCGCTGTGCCCATCATGGTGTACGACTTCCCCGAGCCTGGACGGGCACACGCGCACACACACACACACACACACACACACACACACACACACACACACACACACACACACACACACACACACACACACACACACACACACACACACACACACACACACACACACACACACACACACACACACACACACACACGATTTGGAGCGGTGGAAGCAAGTGAGAAAAAAGGGCTCACTAATAAAGCATATGAATACAAACCAACTGCAGATGGTTCTGAAAAAATAAACTGTACGTGTGACTAGGAATAATCACACAACCTTAAACCTTAATGCAAATTCTAAATGGAAGAATGAACAGAGTGATGGTTTAGATTTTGATATATTATCATTGCAAAATGAAACAAATGAAAAGCAAATGTAACGCCTGGTTGACACTGTCTGAAGATGTGATGACGTTCACTTTCAGTCTCCTAGTAAACGGTAGAGTGGTTAAATATGTTGGAGAGAAAAAGGGGTTTTCTGAATGCTAAAGCTGCAGTCAGATAAAAAAAAAAAATCCAGGTGATAAAAAAACAAATGTGAAGGCTTACTGTATAATGATGCCTAATTGAATAATAAGCAGGAATGAAACACAAGGCAACGTGAACAAAACGTCCTGTAATATGTTAACAATAAAGTCTTGAAACCTTCCTTTTGTAAGTAGGCTCTTAATGTGGAAAAATGTTTGGTAAGTAATGAGTTTGGTTGGGTTTTGTAGATTAACATCAATCAGGAGTACAACGGTTCGGACTCTTTAGGCGCTTTCACACCGCAGTACTTTTCCCACAAAGGTTCATGAGAACTTAGTTTATGAGAACTCTTTAGTTCTCATGAACTGGGACTCCCAGCAGCTTCTACTGAAGCCTTCCGATTAAATCGCCAGAACACCGACACCTCCTCATCTCCACCGCTCCCATGTTTTCTTTTGTGTTGCCATAAGTTAGTCTCTCCGCGTTTGTGCGCTTGGCTAATGCTAATAATGCTAATGCTAGGATAATAAAATGGCGGCTTCACAAAACGTTTTGGGAGTTTTACGGGGCGTGGTTTGCAAACCGCCCAGCCAATCAGACATAGGAACCTTTTTCTCCCACGAAAGTACCTGCTCTCTAGCAGGGACTGAAAAGGGGGTGAAAAGGTTCTCATGAACTCATTTTAGTTCTGGATTTTTTTGGTGTGAACGCGACATTTCGGAACTATATCGGAACTAAAGTGGGAAAAGTACTGCGGTGTGAACGCGCCTTTCATTATGTATTTTTTCTTTCAATGACAAATCTACAAAACTTTCGTTGATCAGAAGAAAATCTTAACGTGTTATTGCAGCTTCACTAAAACTAATATGCCATGGCTAGAATGACAACAACAGTGCTCCCACTACAGGACCTTTGCTAATGTTCATTCAGATGTCTGCAGGTTAAGATGTTACCTGTCTGTCCGTAAGCAAAGATGCAGGCATTGTATCCCATGAAGGCGTTGTCCAGCAGACTCTCCCCAAGGCACTGGAACACCACATCCTGACCTGCACACACATCACAAACAGACTTTAACATCTCAAAATACACACTGCAAAATAAACTCAACATAAGATTATTGTAGTAGCAAAGCAGAGTAGAGGAGATGCTAAAGGGGTAATGAATGAAAGGAAACACAAATGCATGAGAAATACAAAAAGAACCCTTTATATACATTGAGATGACTTGCTGTTCTTTCTCTATAAGCGACAAGACCGACAGACCAGAATTAAAACAGGCAGTTTGTTCCATTAGCTACTATTAATACCCCTCACATTGTTAAGAAACCCCCTGACAACGCTTTTGTTCAACCCCTTTACAAATGTACCAGACTGCAGAACTAATCTAGAGGTAAACAATGTGTAACTATTAATCCCACCCCCTGAACTCTCCCTTTCTTCGACTCCATAAATAGTCCAGAATATCAAGAAACACTCTGTCAGGAGATACGTTAAGAAATGAGTCACACACAAGCTAAAAACAGAACCAACTCTATTAGAGGTCAGAACACAAAGTCAGGGGGAATACAGACCTGCAAACTTGTCTTTTTGAGATTCATCGATGGACCAGAAGCAGTTGTCATAGGCAAAAACCTGAGGAACACACACGATTTAGAAACAACTCATGCATGGATAGTCGGCAGAAAAAGTATTCAATCATTAAGGGTATAAATGACTACTCACCTTTGACTGATTTCTGAGGACCCCAGGGAGAAGAAATTACAATATGAGTTAGTAATTGATGTTGAAATACACATGAACATGTCAACTAACCTATAACTAAAACTATTTGACATTTTTCAGTGAGCATTTTACATGCCAGGGGATTTACACATCATAGGAAACACGTGAGGCAACTTCGCCAACGCAAGGACATGTTACACTATTTATTAAAAAGCAACACTATCAGTGCCAGCAACATTACATGATTTCAAATGTTTGTCCTGGTAAGAACTGCTTTTCAAGATTCAAAGCAAAGCAAAGGATCATTTTCAAGGCAAGCAAAGCGAAGCAAGAGCCAGGAGGCCAGCAAAACTCTCTCTTTACTTTCACACAGTTACACACAATCACACCTGGAAGCTGTCCAGGCAGTAGCTGTTAAAGGTAGAGTACACGCAGTGTTGCAGAATTACCGTAATATTTCTAATGGAAATGTTAATTCATTGGACTCGTAAATGTAAACGTTATCTGCTAAAGCTGTATTTACCGTGTCATACACAGATAGAAACTAATATTTTACCATATCATAGGGAAACATAATACACTTGCCCAATAAATTAGCAAGTTCACGCATGGGAAAAGTACAATAATTTGTTTGATTTTGAACCACCTATGTGGCTCTGTGGAAAGTTTAGGATTAAAGTGAACAACTCATTTATAAAAGAATATCTATAGAAATATATGAATCGAAACTCATTTGGCATGCTTAATGCTCATACATCTCACATGTTAACAGCTAGCTAGCTAGCAAAAACTAGCAGAAGGTGCTCCCATGTAAACACATTATTAACTGTGTACTTTACTCTATTAACTGCTGAATTCAATCGGAATTAAACCTAAATACATTAAACCGAGATGTGACATTATTCGTAGCGTTTTTGTTTTATTTACACCCCCCACACAAATAAGTAACTATTAAAAAAGGTATGACTTTTATTGAGTTAGCGTTAACTCCCCTCTGAAATGTCCAATCCTACCGTATGTATGCTTCACTTCTTAATTCTTCCCACCAAAATGTTCCCAGCCAGTCTGGGCAGTCTTCACTCACAACACTGCTTCTCTAACCTTTAGGCCACTGGTTCCCAACCTTTGGGTCACAAGCAGGTTTAGTCAGATGTTCCCAGTTTACTTCGGGATACGTACAAAAAACATTCATACAAATTATTTCTAATATCTACTTGGAAGATAGAGCATACTTTTTCTTGTGATATACTTAGTATAGTTCCCTGCCTCCAGATTATTCTCTTATAACTCATTAAATAAAGCATACGGAAGAGGAAAAATTGGTTGAGCTGTTTACCACTCTGCATTGGCAGCATGTCACGAGGGATGTCAGTAGGCATTACTTTTAAACTCAGACATTATGATTTAAAAGTTGACAACATGCTATGATGAAGAAATCAGCTGTAAGCTGCCAGGATGCATTAGTAAATGGAATGAAGGGCTCAAGGGGCCCCGAAGTCAGACGCATGAAGTGACATTTCTTATGGGAAAGGCAGAGGGCTCAGTCAAAAGGAGGGTTATCATGTTTTTTTATGAAATACTAACTACCGGTACTATATGTCTCTCTGGGTGAGTACTCACTGATTAAAATAAATGATACGTATGTCAATGCTACAGTATGACCTGTTTGCCCTAGCAGATACTTAACATTCACCAACAGATCGGAGGCATTTTAGAAAATGGGGCAAAAACCACTGCAGTGCAGTAACAGCAGAGCTAGCAAATACTTAAAGTCTCACATAACCCCAGGTCAAAGTCATTGGAGTAAGAGGGGGGGGGGTTTCAAAGACACAAAGTCAAAGGTGTTTTAATGTAGTGAAGCTTAACAATCTGTCAAGCTGACTAATCCTCTTTGGCTCATTGTGAATCAAGTGGAGAATGTGACGCAGCGCTAACAACCCCAGAGCCTCTCAGTGTCCCTGAGACACAGGCGGGGAGACCAAATATCTGCATTCTTACCAGAGCACTCAGAAACACTCACTGCTCTTAGGTTCATCCCCTAGCAGCCAACCATAATATCCTATGCATCAGTCGGCAAACACATTCCAGCCAGCTAACGTCACATTTATTTATCAAACTCATGCTCTATGCTCTACTCCTGATTCATTATGTTTTCCATTGGCAATGTAGCATTCATGAACCCAGCACTAGTCAAATGGTGTCGCTAAATAGATTGTTTTCTTTTTACTTCTGGAGATGAAACCATAGAGATTGATCCCCAAGGTCTGCAATTTCCCTCAGTGTTTCGGAGCGTTTTAGCGTCTTTGAGTTCATTGTTTGTGCTTTCCGGCCGACAACTTTAAGAATTTGGAACACTAATTGTACTTTTTCTATTAGTGTAATCTTCGTGTGAACCAGGCAGCAATTTGTAGCAGAACAAAATCTGTGTAACAACCTAGTAGCAGCTTAATTTGCTTGTGCACACTGCACATTATGGAGCATTTCGTATACAGTCAAACACTGGTTGAGACCAAAACCAGAGCTAAAAGAGAATGAATATGGACTAACACTCATCAGGTGGGCTGAAACCTGTCTGCAAATGAATGTTATGTCTGTGGCAACTATTTGGCTTGTAAACTTAAAAGGTAATAACATTTTAGCGTTTACAGCGTGTCTCCACTGCTCCCAAGTGGCCAAAAAATAACAATTGTCGCATAAAGTCTACATTCACTTACTTTCAGCTGATGACATTCATTATTTTTCTGCAAGTGGAACTATAGCGAGTTGCTGCAGTGTCCCTTTAACCTTAATAATACACTTGAATCACCCCAACATGCCTTCAGAGGATGTTAAGCATTCAGTCACATTGGCCGTTAGGCAAGGACATCCAACCACTATATAGTATAAGAAAGCTCCCTCACTGAGATGAGCTGAAAACCAGATCACATGCAGACAAATATTGCATCACAAATTACAATATGTATAGGATTAAGGATTAGAAATGTAATGAATCCAAAGCCTACAAATTGAAAATGTATTTCTGATTGTTGCCCACAACAGCAAACTGTGTTTTCAAGCAATCTGCATTTCCACACAGAAATGTACCATGATGAAACGCGAACTACAGAGATTAGTTGTCCACCAAAAATGTGAAAAATGGTAGAAACAAAGATTGTTGATTTTTAGATCAATCAAACCTAAAGATAGGCACCTGGTCTCTAAGGAAGCCCTCTTTGACACACACACACACACACACACACACACACACACACACACACACACACACACACACACACACACACAGGGCTGTAATGAAACAAGGCCTCCCTATGTGCGACTTGGCTGCTCCATGAAAGAGTAACATTAAGTCCCGTCCTCTCCTGGGCTGGCAAGGACATTCCTGAGATAACTGGCAGAGCCTCGCAGCTCCAAGGAGACACCGACGCAGAGGGAGGAGGGCGGTGGGTCAGCACATCTGGGATCAACAACAATCTGACCTACACAACTAGAATACTCCGATTTGATAACATACAGCCTTTCCGAGTGGTTTCTGCATATTACAAATTCTGTACCACGTTCCATGAACAGATGAAACTGGGGCTCTTATCAAATGTTTAGATAAGAAAGGCTTTCAACATTATTCTGTGGGGGCTGATAAATATTCCAGCAACAACTCAAGGTCTAGTACAGCATGTGCAATAAAATGGCACCCATGAAACTATAGTTTTACAGGCCTGTTTTAAATTATGAAAGAAGACCAAAGGCTTTATTATCTCTATAATCTACAGCATGTCTGAGGTCTGACAGCCCCCTGCTGTGAGGGGGCCGTAACATATTACCACCCCCTGAGGCTCATGCATGTATTCTGTTAGCTTGTCAGGCAGAGAGCTGAATCAGCACAAACCTTATGGAATTGGCTGCTGGTGAGTGACTCCCCCAACAAACAAAGCTTTTCTGGAACACCGATTTAGCTCGTAATAGAAGATGGAACCTAATCAAGAGTGTAAAAACTGAGTTTCCCAGTTAAGAATACTTGCGTTGTGGCTGTTTAAAATGAGTTTACCTCTCCCTTTTGCCTCACTAAGACCCTTGTGCTGCTCTGGGATCATGGAGTTGATGTTGCGATCAGCCGGTAAAACCTGTTCATATTGATCCCCAAGGGGAAGCATACCGCTGCTGAAGCGTGTCAAGGCAGAAGAATATACACAGACAGACAAAATGCATAGAACTATGAAATATGACACTTTCTGTTTCTACAAAGACAGAGATTCATTCACTCGCATATTTCCAGAACAAGGTAACCTGAGAAGGGGCTGAAGCCTCCAGGGAGCATCTACCTGAGCTGCTCTGAGGAGAGGACTTTGTCAACAGCAAAACACTGGAGCCACACAACACAGGCCCAGGGGCACGCTTTCCATTTAACATTTTTGCATCCACATGTCATTCTGTGGCTATTTTGATGTGTGTGGGAGAGGGACATTTGGTATTTGAGCCTTTGCAGACCATTTACATGCACTAAAAACAATAAGCAATAAGACATTTTGGTCCAAATTGTGCAGCCATAATTAAACCAAGGACAAATGGCCATAGTAACTGGAGTACAAATTGTAACTTCAATTCTTAAAGTCTCAAGTGTTGACAGTGTCTTCTCCTTTGTTGTATTCCTTTGGATCATGGTTTTGGCTACCTGAGCAGGACTGAGCTGGAACAGACACGCCTTTTGTAAAGAGAGGAATGATGCAGCAAGGACACAGAGGGAGGAGGACACATGTAATGGAGTAATAGAGGGAGGAAGGGTGTGGTGAGGGTGAGATCTGAGCTTCTTCCAAGCAGCAGGGTGTTAACTTGACAGGCTGGTTAGAGTGTGTATTAACTCTTCTGCCAGTAATCCTGAGGGAATTATATAAATGAAAGTCTTATACTGCAATAACTGTATAAGTAAATACCTGAACTTGGCAAAACATTAACTTGCCGCTGCATAGAACTGTCAGTTCAGGTTGTTTACCTAATTTAATTCATGTGTATCTTTATTTTAAATGTATGTGTTAATGTGATTTAGATTATTAGTTGCTTTAATATAATGCATATATTATTATTTATATCTTTAGATTTACTCATGTTAACATTTTGGGGGGAAATTCTACTTTGTAACATGTTGAATGTAGAGTATTCAAACCCAACTCAGTCAAAATTAAATGATACAAAACTGGGTTAAGTTCAGAAACACAAGCACTTCACTGCAACGCAGCTGCACGCTGTCAGCGCTTCTGTGATTCACCTAAAGGAGCCCTGAGCTGCCCTACCATAACTTGACCTACTACATATTATAGTTGCTATTGTACATGCACCTATAATGGAAAAATACAGGTTAATAAATATATCAAAATACAAAAGTCATGGTACAAAATACTACAGTTTCCATGGCCATTAACATTCTAGTGTCCAATAAAAGTCCCAAAATGAATGTGGATCCCACACAAGTCATGTAACTTAAACAAGCACCAACCGCTGCCATATTCATAAGAGATGTCTCATGAGTAAGAGACAAAGAAAAACATATAATATGGCTTCACATGCAGTGGCAGAGCTGGGGGGTGGCTGGGAGTGGCCACGGCCACCCCCCAGCTGAATCCTGGCCACCCTATTGGCCACCCCAAGCACCCTCACCACGGGGGCCCAAACAATTTTAGAACATTAAGAAAAAAATGTTTAGTAACCTTTCATCATTCATGAAGAATTAAAATTAATAGGACGTTATATTGATAATATACTCACTAAACTTACAATTCATTTAACTTATTTTCTTCCAAAAGTTAATTATCCAAAGCCTCTGTACACCCCCTTCTATTTACATGTAATGGTTTGGTCCTGCCTCCAAACGCGGTGCAGCACCGCCGGCACTTTCTAGCAGAGAGTGGGAGCATGTTAGGATGCTATTACTTACGTGTGAACCATGTCTCAATGACTAACAAAGTCAGGCTTTCAAAAGAGAAAAGAAAGGACAGAAAGACAAGAGAGAGGGACTTAAGGCCCAGATACACCGGCCAGTCAGCTGAGAAGTCGCCGACACCGACTGTTGCGTCGCCGGACTCTCCTGCGTATTTGCCGACTTCGCGCACTGGAACACACCGCAAATCCGAGCCGAGCACGTATGAACTGCGTATGCGTGAGTGGCAATAACTCTGCTTACCAGCAGGCGGCGGTAGTACACACTACTCATTCATCATTCAAAAGAGGCAACAACCGGAACAACCGGAAGACAGAGAAGAAGAACAGACTCCGTGATATAAACAAACAACAAATAGCGTTTTTCTTTCGATTTTCACTCTCGTCCATTGAAAACATCAACGAACAGGAGCTCTATAAACCGATGAGGTGAAATAGCCTTCCGTGTGTGTTCCATCTTCCATTTTAAATCATTTGTTTACCTCCCTCACTTCCGTTAACGCTTCACATGCACTGATTTGCTAGCTGAACAGCCAATCAGTGTTATCCCTTTGTCCGACTTCCAGTGGGGTTCCCGACGCCGATTCAACATGTTGAATCGGCAAGAAAAGTCGTCAGGTCGGCAGAAAAGAGCCGACGGTGCGGCGCACACCACTCCGAATAGGGTGTGCCCACGCTCATGTTCGGCCCGACTCCCATTTACTGCCGATTTCGGGCCGGTGTATCTGGGCCTTAAAGGGCGACAGTATGCCACCCAGTTTTTCAAAGAAAAGGTGGGTGTGGTCTATGAGTGGTGGAAATGTGTCTGTTAGCTACGCGTAGTCCATTGTAAATAATAATTGTTATGTTTTTTTTTTACTAAGCTGACATTAAGTACCGTTAATATCTATACAGGTTTTTAATTTCACTCCTCTTTTAGCTGACATTTAGTAAATGCAGGTACATTTTTAGCAGCTATTCATACTAAATCAGTTGTCCCTCAACCTGGTGCCAGGACCAACAGACCATCTCTAGGCTCAGCAGCCCTGTCCCCCGATAAGTGTTATATTTTCACAGCTCAGTGTCAGTAAATATTGTGCAGTTAGTATTGGACTACAAGATAGGTGCAAGCCTGTACAGGTAGAGTTATTTAAAGCATAAATGAGTCGGTTGGGTTCTGGAGGTGTGGTTACAGTAAGTGTGCTTGGTTGGCGTGGCCTGGGCCTGGTGGTGGGGCCCAATGTGATATCTTCTCATGGGGCCCAATTATTTCTCCGGGCCACATTAACAATGTTGTAATGAAATCGCGATAGGATTTTTCAGGTCAGGTAAAAAACAAAAATTCTCTGATGTCAAATCGGTCAATTTCCAGGGAAAACAGTCGGAATGTGTTACGATAACCCATCATTTACACAATATCCAGGACGGGAGACGGATGGGG